CTAAGATCACTTGCTTGCTGCTGTGCGTGGAATTATAGCCAATGCTGAGTGGTACCTCCATGTTCTTATATTCCATAATGTTGTTATTCAAGTCGATCTTGATACCTTGATCCATCAAGAAGTCCACTCTTATGATTACCTTCTACAATCTGCGCGACGATAAAGTTGTGTAGCACCGTCACATTACCTACTGTGACCTCACACGTCACTTCGCCCACCACTGCCTATCATCTACAATCTGCGCGACGATAAAGTTGTGTAGCACCGTCACTTCGCCCACCGCTTGCCTATCCTCACCAGTCGCCGTTTTCAATATTGCTCCAGGTAATGGTCTCACTTCTTTAGCGATCAGATCAGTTCGAATAATGGAGTGTGATGCGCCAGTATCCACTGTTAATATTCGCTCTCGTCCATCGACATATCCACCAATAGTAATGTTGCTCGGTTTTCTGCCAATTTGCGATACGGAAATTATGAGGCATTCAATTGCAGGAGCCAGCTTACGCCCCTTTAGACTGGCTCGTTTTAGTTTAACGATTGAGAAGTTGATGGTTCATTTTCCTCTGCCTTCTGTTTCCGCTGTACCTCCTATCTGCTGGAACTTATTTTGCATTCGCGTGCGTAGTGCCGAGGCTTTCCACATTTAAAGCATTTTTTTCGCTTGAGTTTTGAAACCAGAACGATTCATCCCTTCTAGCGATTTCAGAGTTCTCAATATTTCGGTCATCACATCTGGTGTTTCAACCTCTAATTTATTGACTTTGTATGATTGTGTATACGCAACAGTTTCAACTTTGGATTCGCATAAGTCTCTCGCTCGGTGTACAAGTCTTTTATTCCACTAATGAACCTTTGTATCTTCACCCTTTCAAAATGCTCACCCGATGTGTCTCCAATGGCTAAATGAGCTAATCTCTCAACTTCCGAAGCATATTCCTGCAGAGATTCGTTGGATTTTTGGTCGTGCTTTTCTAACTCCATCTGGTAAATCTGTCTTCTGTGTTCGCTACAATAGCGTCTTTCCAGAACTCGCATCAATCCGTCATAATCATTTTTCTCGTTTACGGATATGGTTTGCAAAAGTTCGGCTGCAGGTCCTTCCAACGCAACGAATAGTGATTGGCAACAACATAGAGTATAGCGGAATAAACTATTTGAGTCGTAAAGTAAACGCGTTGGAGATTAAATTTAAGTAAAGTAAATTGTGAAAGGTGATGCTAGTGATTGTAAATAGTAAAGTGCATTGTGAATTACTGAGAAAATAAGGGACAGTAGATTAATTCTTTATAACGAAAGAAACTGCAAATTAAGTTGGCGAGTTTTTATTTAACAATTCAGAGATCGTAGCCGAAGGATTCGGAAAATAATCGAGGTTCATTTAGTAAAATCGTAGCAATTGGTGTCAGAAGTGGGATTGTTAAATAAATCCCAAAGGATAATATTTGCAGAATGGTAAAGATTCAGGATTTGACGATACCTCCTCTCAAGAGGGAGTTGGCAAAGCGAGGATTTTCGACAACTGGAAATAAGGCGGAGACTGTGAGAAGCAATGGAAGTTGAAGGCATCGACTTGAACCAGTACGAGTTCCATCGCGAGGATGAAGATGTATCCTTGAAGGACATTGACAAGGAAGAGGCTGATGGTTCTGTAAAGGAGTTGGAATCACCATCAAGTAAGATTCAAGAAAAGGCTCCTGGTTCATATAAGGGTATTGACATGAACATATAATTGACTGCGATCTCGAGCATCTCACAAAAGATGGATGCACAGAATGCCAGCATCTCACAAAAGATGGATGCACAAATGCTTGAGCAGAGAGAGCCGATATCATCCTTGGAAGCAACAATAGCGCAAATACAGCAAAATCTGGTGAGGAACAATGCGGAACTTAAGGAAAGGCAAGATCTAATTGAGATCGAAGTCAACGCATTGAAAAGTCGATTCCGGGAATTGCAGCTAAATCGTCCAACCGCTTCAGTGAACGCTCCGAAGGTCGATGTCGATCATTAATCTACCTAACGTTATTTTGCAGGTCGTGAGCAAAAGAGAAGGCCTTATATAATATTTGTTATAATAATTATGTGTTGAAATTCTTTAAGGCATGAATTTCAGATTATAAACTTCTCTTCAACAGACCTATTCTGTCGAGGTAATAAAATTTACTTTGGTATTAAAATTTACCATTCAGTAAATTTTGTTACAATTTCGTATTCTGAGTTCACTGTCACCCCGTAAATTTTGTTACCAGCTAAATTGGAGGCAACAAACAATCATCTGTTCGATTTTGTGCTATTAGTTTGTGAAAAAAAAAAATAAAAAATCAA